TAATTCAGCCCAGGCAAAGGGACTTGGTACCTGAATCCCTATATCTCAGTTTCCCTAGATGTAACATGAAAATGAGCCAGTTTCCGTCGGAAAATCCTTCACGAAGGCATGTCTCACTTACGTAGATAGTCCCTTTGTACTTCATCAACTCATTCAGCGTAACCCTTTAAACAGAGAAAAATATAGAGAATTTCCGCACAGTTTGGCCCTATTATGGTGCAAATGATTAGCACATCCAGCGTGACAGAATATTTCAAAGGGGAAGGGCAATGTTGATTTTTTTGTGTTTCCTGCTTCAAAAAAATTTAACAGAGAGACCATGACCTTGTAGAGTCATTGGGTTATTTTGATGCTGGAGACATGAAAAATGTGTAGCGCCCTCGCCACGGCTCGAACCTGAACCTCCCGAATACGCGCCGAGCGTGCTAACCGTTATACCGCGAAGGCATACTGGAAGGAAGGAAAAAATACCTTATAATCCATACCATACGTATTGATTCAGCCGATACGCTCAGCCGATTTGGACTCGAGTAGGTGAAATTGCCGCGCGTAAATTACACAAGTATCAGAAAAACTTATTCTCTAAAAGTAATTTCAAATTCATTGCGGTGTATGGTGTGTGTGTATTTAATTATGGTAAAGCACACTAGGGCTATCTGCCTCAGGGGAGGGATGCCTTCGTGGAGGACTTTCTAAGGAAAACTGGCTCGTATGCACGTTACACATGGGGAAAACACGAAAACACCCATGCAGCCAGCCCGTTCGCGGAATTCGAACCTCGGACCGAACTACCAGTGCTCAGCGTTTTTACCGCTCGGCCGCTGTTGGGCCCCAAATTCATTGCGATTCTAACATTCAGTGTTGCCCTTTCCCCCCCCCAAAAAAAAACTGTCTATCTGGTTTACTCGAAAATGCAGAGTTTTCTATAAAATCTCATTCAACTTTTAAGGAAATTTTGCCCCCTAGCAAACACGGATGTAAATGCAACTATTTTGACTGCAGAGTTTTCTATGAAACCCCGTTCAGACTAGAATTAACATTTTACCTAATATTAAACATGGATGTAAATGCAACTATTTTTAATAAGTCAACTATTTAATTTTTTAAACATGACATGAGACATATTATGAAATGCGATTCCCGATACGTCAACTGCAAGGTCTTTAACACATTATTATAAATTTTTTCCAGCTGGTACGTCAGTAAACATCATTACATAACACAGGTTTCACAAACTCGTACACTCTTTGCAACGCAGAATTCAGGTGGCTAAACATCAGAAAATGTGTTGGAAAAAGTTTAGAAAACGTCGAGCAAATTAAATCGAAACCGTCAAAAAGCACCGACAAAAGAATATGTATTAAAGTTTGGCTGCCCAGACATCGCTCCCCGTCACCTACTTAAAATTTCATCCAAAATTCCAACTTAAATTTACTTTTTTATTGTAATAAAATTTTTCCAACTTTTTTAACTTCCTAATTTTGTTGTCGTTGTCACTTATGCTCACTTCTCTGCCACGTAATATCAGCCGGAGCCCACGAAATTCCTCGTCGTAAGGGGCGATAGATTTTACGCCTGTCGTTGGCAACAGCCTCGAGCACCGTACACGTGACAGTGCGATTTAGCTCAGTTCCGCCCCCAATTTTGATGGACAGCATCCAGGGGGGGGGACAGGTCCGAGTGTCTCCCACTCCTCTACCCCTCCACCAAACCACACAAGAACGCTTTCGACTCGCCGCATATCTGCAGTACCGCCATGCCATACCGTCACTATACATTTACAAACATCCATGCCTTCTCCGGGTTTCTAACCCAGACCCTTCGGCATGGCAGTCAGCGACGCTAACTGCTATACCGGTTGGACATATCTGGATGCTCTCGATTGTGGTTTTTGCTTGGGGCAGCCCTTGTTTGTCATAAAATCTTGTCGATTAGGTGGATGGGGCTGCGCCCATTTCGTACCGGTTGGAAGGCACACTTCCTAATTATATTTATGTGAAGCTTCATTTTGTTTAAAAACTTTTAGAGACATTAGGTATTTTTTAGAGACATTAGGACACGGACCTCTGGAATACCGGCCCAGCGTGCAGAACCACTACACCGCGAAGGCACGCTACGAAGGCTGGAGAAATACCTTATATGCCCCTCATTTTAACCTTTAAGAGACGGGGCAGTTTGGAAAGGTTTAACTTAAAAATACGGGAATCCAAATGCATTTCCACCCCCCCCCTCTTAGCTGTCATAGTAAAGGAAAACTACTACTCTTATGCAACTTTTCCTGTAGGTCACCTTTGGGGGTCGCCTTTGTTAATTTTCAGATAAGAGACTAGGGAATAATATAAAAAAAATTTGTTCTCTTTTCTGCTGTTCATCGCGAAGGTCATATCGCATAAGTGGCAAAATAGGTTATTCGGACGATGACTATCTCCGCACCCTGAAGGATGGAGGGGAGGGAAATTATCTGCTCGATATTTCGCCACAGCCGTCTTTTTGAGACACTGCAGCTCTGGCCGATTCTTAGGCCACCCGTCTTTTAAAGGTTAAAGAGCGACTGAGGTTTTTAGGGGACTTAATCGTCAAATCCTGGGTGGGGGAGAAATCATCATCTACCACCCTTTTAGTTCGGGCGCCACTGTAGAGACACTAGGTATTTTTTGGAAGAAGGCAAGATGAAAAATGAGCAATCACCTTCGCCGGGAATCGAACCACGAACCTCTGGAATACTGGCTCAGCGTGCAGAACCACTACATCACGAAGGCACGCTAGGAAGGCGGGAGAAATACCTTATAACCTCATTACTTTTAATTAACGATTAAACTCAGCATTCTCTTGCTCTTAAACTGCTAGTGGTTTCCCAATTGCGCATTATTCCATTCTTCTTATTATTACTATGTATAAAAGTTGATTACTCATGTTTACTTCATATTACTCAAATTTTTAAGTACTCAGATCAACCACAAATTATTCCAATGTAATTATTAACCGACCATCGAATGCATATTCAAAAACGACGTCAATTATCGCGAATTTTGAAATTTAATATCTTGGTCAATTTTTGTCATGCGGAAGTTAAAAACTTTCTGGATTTTGTTTTTTATAACGAGTACAAAGTTTTCCTAAATCTAAGTATAAAAACCGAAGGAACGTGCGAAAAATTCAGGTTTCGTAGTTTTTTCTTTTTTCTTTTTTTTTTTTTTTTTTAATTTAAAAATACGAGAACATGTTTCTTTGCGTCAGTTAAAATTCTTTTAATAACTGGAAGTATGTGTCTATAACGATAAGTGACGGAGAGCGTGGGCACCATCCCTCTACCATGATGGTCAATTGGTATAGCGCCACGTCCTCCCTTATCTAGAGTCCGGCTTGAGGGGCCACACGCGAGCCTCGCACAGGACGCCCTGTCCCTACGCCCGGACCGTACCGTCAGCAGTCATGCCGACCAAATGCCAACGGAGTGGACTCCCGTCCAAAGTGTCCGGGCCCAGCGTATATTGAAATCCAATAAAAAGTTTACATGGCCGAAGAGGGGCAGTAATACATTCGTTTGATATCATTGTGCAGACATTGCGACATGTTCGTTCATACAACCAACCTAATTAAACACATAAATACATACATAGATGCATAAATACATAGATGCCACTTAAATACATAACAAGTAAATACCCAAATACATAAATACTTGAGAACTAATTGCATGTGCACATGAGTACTAAATACAACGTTACCTGGATACTGAATACATAAGTGTTAGCATACATTTGCGATATGTTCATTCATAAGACCGGCCTAATTAAGCACATAAATACACGAGTAGAGACATAAATACAAAAGTTCCACTTAAGTACATAATAAAAAGATTCCTAAATACATAAATACCTGAGAACTAAGTACGTGTGCATATGAGTACTAAATACGACGTTACCTGAAAAATGAATACTTAGATACAAGCATACATTTGCGACATGTTCATGCATACAGACCGAAGTAATTTAACACATAGGTACACACATAAATGCACACATAATTACGTGATTGCCGCGTTAATACATAATAAATGAATGCCTAAATACATAAACACTGGGGACAAATTACGTGTGCATATGAGTACTATATACGACGTTACCTGGATACCGAATACATAAATATTAACATACTTTTTCGACATGTTCATAATACAACCCGACCAACAAACGCATGTATACACACATAGATACATACATACGTAAATGCCACTTAATACATAAGTACCCGAGAACTTAATAGGCGTGCACATGAGTACTAAATGCAACGTGACCTGGATACTGAATACATAAATGTTAGCATACTTTTGCAACATGTTCATTCATAACAGACCGACCCAATTAAGCACATAAATACGCACAATTGCGAAATGAAAAGCCGTGTAAAGTTATTAGGCTTTTTTAATCAGGGGACATGAAAAATGTGCAATACCTTTGCAGGAACTCGAACCTCGACGCGTTGAATATGCTTCCGCCGCCCAGACGGTATAGTGGTTAGGGAACAATTAGGAGTGGGAAGTGCCGTTATAGACAAGTGCGCACCATTTGGGGGAGGAGAAGAAATATGCTTCCAATTACACCACGAAGGTATGCTGGAAGGTCGAAGAAAATAGAAATTTGAGATATATAACGAAAGGTAATGAAAGCATCTGAGTTATCAAGCTGACCTTATAGCCGTATAAAGAATTTTGTGGGTATGGTGTACATGATTCTGTTTCAAAATGTTTCAATTCGTAATGCCACTAGTAATAATAATATGAATCTGTAATGCTTTTATCCTGTATAACAATATTGATACAGTTACAGATATAAGCAATTTGTAAGCAAATGACATTTAAAGGTATCAATAAATAAAACAGCTCATGTTACAAACGTATTTTCTGCTTATTATTTTCTTCTCTAGCTTGCTTTATTGTAGGAATGCAGTATCTGATATTTATGAATTAAAAGTACGTATCAATCAACTATTTACATTACCTGTAATCTTCCGTTCTAACAACTGGGTTATGAATTAAACGCACTTGAAGTAGCCGGCTGACTAAGACCGCTGAAAACTGGCAGTTCTACCCAGACTCGAGTGCGAATGGACTGGCTATTTCCAACAATATGTGTAGCATAAATACGAACAAGTTATCCTCAGATAATCCTCAGTGAAATCCGCTGCCGCCTTCCTCTCCTTTTCTGTACTAAAAAAAAACAAATAAAAAAAAATCTGATGTATACACCACATGACTTCCTTGTACGGAATACTAAATTATACGCATTTTTTCTTGCATTTCATTGAGACTTATTGGATTGAATTAAACCTACTTCGCCGACAGCGCATAAACCAGAATATAATAAATGCATTCTTTAAAATTCCCTCTAGTATTTGTTTATCATAGCGACACTCTGGCGCTAGATTCACTTTACAGCATTATATTTCGTTCATATTATAACTCAAAATGCACAAAATTTATATCATTTAAAGAATAGAATTATCTAATCGTTGCCACATGTTTTATTCAAATACTATAATAAAGCTAGAATGATGTATAAAAGAAATTAAGCAAATAAAACAAAAAAGAAACAGTTTTTCACAGACGATTGAGTATTTCTCCTTCAATGAATTCAGTTCTCTCTTCGCGAGAAGGCAAAATTACATAAAAACTCAAAATATCTGCATTAAAAATTACGAAGTAAATCTTAAACACTTATTTCCTCGAAAAAATTCCAGAAAGGATTAAGCATGATTTAATTGGCAATAATAAATGAAGGCGTTTATCTTTGTTGTTGCGAAGCTACGTTTCTCTAGATTGGCAACAAATTCCCTACTCAGCTGTTTCAAATGTAAACAAGCAATGGCCGCCATCAGAATAGGCTTAGCGGCACTTAAACAACTTTAAAATTGTTAATAATTCTAAAAATATTGCACACAGATTTACTAAAAGCATAAAAACCTGAACCGGAAGATAAAAACAACATAATACAATTATTTTTAAAGCAAAAAATGTACAATTTACAAACATATAAGAGTAAACAAACTGAGATCACTGAGCCGGGTAACAGGGTGGATATATTTATAAATATATTTATATACGTTTGGCGCGGCCGATTGAAACCAAAATACGAGGTGCACATCTACATGTTATAGTAGTCTTATATACAAAATTTCAACGTTCTGAGGTTACTGGTTTTTCAGTTATGCGAGATAGGTACGTTCGTACAGACGCCACAAAAAATTCTCTTCAGAATTAATTTTAAAGCAGTTTTATAATTTTTTTGGAGGAAACGGGTCTTTTATTCTGTCCTTACGTACAGATATGACGCAAAAACATCGTTAAATTGCATTCGATAGCGTTCAAAATGGATATTTTCGTTGAAATATGCTACCTGAAACTTTTCGCGATTAAAATACTTCCTTTTTACTTCGTACAAGGTATCAAAATTGAAAGCTTTCAGATTTTATATTACGTCCAAAGGGTCGTTTTTTTAACGTTTTGTGTATTACCTTTATTTATTAAATACCATATTCTTCCCACTTAAACCATCAAAATTAATTCAACAACAATATCATAAAATACTTATATCTTTAGAATTTCCAATACAAAGTCTCGCGCACTGGAGATATTTTTTTTTTTTTTTTCGTACAGTGTTTCCCTTGTTCGCTTCGAAATCGTAGAGTTTCTTAAGTAAAAACTTAAACAATGCTTTACAAAATATGAAATAGATAATAAAACAAATTCCAAATTTGGGCTTCCAGATGCCCATATTCGGATGGAGACGTACGTTGTTCAAACTTGGATGACTCTAGGTACCGTTGTCTTATCACAGTACGAGAAACAATAATTTAGTTATTCTTTTGAGCAATGCGCGGAAGCCTTATGCTCCTTATCACTGCGTTCTTCAAGAATCAGTCGCAATTACTTTATTTTTAATAGTTCAGCGATATATAATTTCAGTCATCTTAAGATCAACTAAATATGAATTTCAAGAATTACTTAGATAAAGCCGAATATTTTAAAAAGGATAACGGAAAGAATAATACTCACTTTCTTGCGTTGACTTAGACGATCTGAGTTAAACTTTAGGATTTGAATCCTAGAATGATTCGCACCTCAACTGAACAGACAATTCGAGGGGCACGAGGAGTGATTAATCTGGAGAGGAAAAATTAAATCATTTCCGAATAGGGCTTCTAGTAAAATGAAATCGTCTACTTGGAAATCGTAATGTGTAAAAGCAGGATGTATCTTAAATGGACTATGACGTCATAAATCGTCGGCTACTGTCGATAGGCTGGCCAAAAACTGTCGAGCTACGAAGCTTAGAATGCAGTTATTTTAATTTCCAAGCTGCTGTCAAGTAATATTTAATTTTACAATAAATCTTATCACGAAGAGTCAAAAATTGGTGAAGCCTTTTTGGGGCGATTTTTGAAATGGATTCTGATGAAATTTTTCGTGATTCCCTAACTTGTGCAAAAACGCAGTTTTTCCAAAATTGCGAAGTATTTACAGTAACGGGCTTATTAAAATATAAGAAAATCTTCTTAAAAATTATCTACGTATATTATAAAAATGATGTTATCTTTTCTATATATTATAATTTTTATTTCTGAATTAACAGTCCGAAGGATCAATTTGGCCACAAGGGCTATAAATTTCGTTATAAATTCGACTTATAATGAATCGACTCAAAATGTCGCGTATCACTTTTCAAATTGGTACCAAAAAATATTACTTCCTTATATTATATTTAAAGAAATTAAATAATGAAGAATCTGCATGAATGTATGCATGTTCCTTACATTGTGACAAAACAACGGTACCTAGAGCCATGCAGTTTTGAATAACGTAATCTTCCACCCGAATATGGGCACCTGGAAGTCCAAATTTTGAACTTTTTTTATTATCTATTTCATATTTTGTAAACCTTAACGAATTTTTGACGACAAATTCAATGATTTTAAAGCCAGTAATGGCAACACTGTACGGGGGGAAACATATCTCCAGCGAGCGAGACTGTGTATCCGAAATTCTAAAGATATTCTCTTTTTTAAATTATTTTGGGATATTGCTGCTGAATTGAATTTTATGGTTTTATGGTTTATGGTTATTGAATTTTATGGTTTTATGGTTTAAGGTTATTTATTTATGGTTTTTTGTCTTTTTTAATTTATTATTTAATCCTTTCGTTTTTAAGTTTATTATTTTATTATCCTATCATATCCCCTTTCTCCCAAATGCTAAATGTCAAAATACGCTAAACACACACAGCAACATAAAAATCACTGTGAATAATGAAAGAGTCTAACGAAGCATGAACTTGTGCACCATGTTGATCGCTCTTTTTTTTTTTTCCTGGAGATGATATTAATCCATTCCGCAGGCCTTAGATCGGATGTCATCTCGACGACAGAAGTAAGAAAATAAATGTTTAAGATGTAATTTTTTTAATAGCAAAGATATTTTGCAGTGTACTTGCTCAGATATTTACCATAAAATATAAATAATATTACTTTAATAGAATGATGTCCCGTTATCTAATTAATTATTCAACAGAAAAATTCCCATAAAAGTTTTTTCTCCCTCCCCCTTTTCTCCTCTCTTGTATTGTCATTCGTCATTTATAAGGCTCTTCTTTGCAGACATTCTCTACGCCGGAAATTTTCGTCATACGTGCACTGTTTACAGTTTTTCACTGCGCTAATCAAAAAAAAAAAGGTGGGCCATTCAAAAATTTCGATTTTTTTTTCACTGTAACCGTTAGAGCTCTTTTGTTTTAAATCATCACAATCTCGAGCGCATAATAACAATATTTGAAATTTCATTTCTATTGGTTTAGCGGATAGGCCGCTAGGGGTTCGGATATCGAGGCATTTTTTTTTTAATGACCACACTGTGCTGTTACAGAAAAGGACATTAAACATAATGATGTCACATTTCTGGTAGCACGCTAATTTCCTAGTATATCTTCATCGTTCTCAACATTAAGGTATTGGCAAGAAGAACCAAAACGCCACAATTAAATCATAAAAATTCTAATGTGTACACCACGACTTCATTGTACGGGATATTAAATTATACGCATCTTTCCATCTTGCATTTCATTTAAACGCATTTCCTCGAATTTCATTACAGATAGGTTTCTCATTCAATTAATTCAGTTCTCACTTCGCGGCAAGGCAAAATACATAAAAACTCAAAACATGTTCATAAAAAATAAGAAAGAAATAGAAAAACATAAAACAATAAATATAGTTAAAACAATTTTAAAAAACAAATTTTACAATTAAAATTACACTTTCTACGCTTTCTACAAAGAGAAGACCCTCGGATCCGTCCCCCCCCCGTGGTGCTCTCCGTCAAAATTGGGGGAAGAGCTGTGTTAAATCGCTCTGTCACCTGTAAGAACAAGCAATTCGGCCAGCCGGCAGGTAAACGGATTTTTCGTTGCAAAAACCTGAGTTTCGTTTTGGCCGCAACGGCAAAAAGACATTCAAATTGCAGAAAGACTTAATTCCCCATTCTGCTGAGTTTCGAATGTAACCAAAAATGGCTGCTATGGTTAAAAAAAATAAGCTTAGCCGCACTGAAACAACTTTTAAATATTTGATAATTCTACAACTATTGCATGCAGATTAACTAAAAGCATAAAATCCTTAACCGGAAGATAAGACTAGGATAATTCAATCATTTTTCAAGCAAACCATGCACAGTTTCCAAACATATAAGAATAAAAAAATTGAGCTTACCGAGCCGAGGAACATAGTGGGTTATATGTATATATATATACACTTTTGGTGCAGCTGATTACAACCAAAAAGGAAGGTGCACAACTACATGTTATAGTAGTCCTATATACAAAACTTCAACGTTCTGAGGCTACTCGCTTTTGAGTTATGAGAGTCTGTACTTATGTACAGACGCCGCGAAAAAATCTCTTCTGAATCCATTTTAAATCAGTTTTATAATTCGTTTGGGACAAAAGATTCCTTTATTCTGTCCTTACGTACAGATGTCACGTTTCTTCTTTGAAATACACATGCGGGAAATTCAATTTTAAAAAAGTGTCACTAATTTTATTTGCTACTTCCTTTGGACTCCATTATGTAACTAAGCCTCATTTCAGATCTAGGACTGCATAGAGTGCCTGAATCAATAACTGTGAAGATGCCCTACTGTTTCCAATGAAAAAACATACAAGTAATAATAGAATTGCGTTATGAGAAAGCACAATTCCTCTGAGAAGTCAGTCTCCTGTTATACACCGCCTGTTATATGAAAACAGGTGGAGAGTTAATTGAAATAACACAGAAATTCGTGGAATATAGACATCATTTAAGACAAATAAAATTCAGTGAAGACGTATCCTTGTTCTGAACGTTTTATCAATATTTGCCCAAGGAATAACATTTGATATGCCCTTGACCATGAGGGGAAATCTGCGATATTTTACCTTTAACAACAATTGTAAGGCAGACTTTCATTTTTTGATCTGCCAGCCGCTTTATAAAAATGAAAAAAAAAAATGTATAATGATTTTCGGGTAATTTCAGGGATCCATCTAGAAGTTACTAATAATATAGATGAAAAACTGCGCTTATTACTTTTACATCGCTTAGTGCCGCCCAATCGGTATAAAGGTTAGTGGCGGTGGTGAATTCCGTGCCGAAGAGCCTGGGTTCGATTCCCGGAGAAGGCATAGATGTTTGTAAATGTATAGTGCCCGTGAGGCATGGGGCACTCTAAATCTGCGGCGAGCCGAAAGTTCTCTAGAGATGTTGTTGGTAGGGGAAGAGGAGACCATCGGACCCGTCCCCCCGGGGTGCTCTCCATCAAAATTGGGGGCAGAGCTGTGTTAAATCGCGCTGTCACCTGTAAGGTGCTCAAAGCTGTTGCCAAAGACAGTCGTAAACTTGCGTTAATTGCCACGAGGAATTTTGTGGGTTTGGGCTGACTATGGGTCAGACAAGAGAGCAATAGCAGCAAATATCGCTTAGTTTGTTAATTAGTTAACAGACAAAAAGATACCGAAGGGCCCGGATTCGAACCCCAGAGAAAGCGTGGATGTAAAACTGTCCGTCCCTTCATAGGAGGCAAAGGTGTCTCACCTATTAGGTGCCGCCATAATAAAGAAATCACCACATCTGGCCTAGGAAGTGGCCGATGCCGACATAGACAAGTGCCCGCCATTGGAAAAAAAACGTTACAGACAAATATAATTTGAAAGAAAAATTATACATCTTACCCTCTAACTACAGCGCACTAATGCTAAAAACTTTAAGTATAATGTTTCTGACAATGGCAACACATTTCTTTTAACTCCCCAAGTTTATTAATTAAATTTGAAAGCTAAATATCTTTGTCGAGTGCAGCAAATTACATCTGAATCATCGAGTTTGTTAGTCAAAAGCTCATTACGTTTGCACAAAATAAGAAATAAATAAAAAAAAAAGTTCGAAACTCAAAATTTGGGTTTGGTGGTGCTTACATTCGGACGAAAAGTCGTGTGTGTTCAAAATTTGGTGGATGTAGGTTTTTCACAATGCGATGAACATACATACCTACAAAATTTTCCTTATTTCTTAGAGCAGACAAATTTCTAAATGTAGTGAACTCTCTCGTTATAATCACCTCTATAAGAAGATTGCTTCTATAAGTGATCACATTTTTTTAGAATAAGAAAAAATATCGATAGTGAACATTCCTCTCTGAGAGGATTACCTCCGTAAAAGACCAAAATATTCTAGAGCTGCGGTGCTCGTCTTAGAGTGGATTCATTATACTTGCATTTTTATATAAGTAATCTATTAATGTGTACCCTATGGATAAGAGCAAAAAGTAATACAAATGACTCATACATAAATAATTAAGGTGGTGCTATAATAAGAAACAATGTGATCAAGTTATAACAGGTATGTAAGAACAAAATTAAGAGCGATTAAAGCAATTATTCCTACAATTAAATCTAATAACTTTCGATAAAATATAAACGTCTAAAACGGAAAAATATTTCATATTTTGTTGATATTTATCTTTTCAGCTTAAGTGAGAACAACATAAAAGTATAAAAATAAAAATATGTTGATAATATTAAAATGCGTTAAAATTTAAACAAAGTATTTTCCTTTTAGAACTTTAAATCCTAATTTCTAAGGGTATCACTTTATTGGTATTTGTTTT